CAAAAATCTATAATTAGAATGAGAACTTAAAAGCCAAACTTATTAGAAATTTGAATTCTATTAAAGAATTGCAGCATTAAATAATATAATTCCCATCCAAAAAAGCAATAAATTTAAGGATGAAAAATTTTTAATTATTTTTGACATATAATAATTATATGAATTGGATTAACACTATATATAATTAATTGATGTTTGTTAAACGATTAGTTATAATTTGTTTGATCAAATAAGCCTATCAATTAATATTTGCTTATAAAAATTTTTGATTCATAGTATATAACTCAAATTATAGTAATAGAAAATCAATATTATATTTAACAAAGATGACTCAAAACAAGAAAGATGACTTGTTTAAGGTGTTATAATTGATTGAAGATATGGATGATAAAATCTACATAATAATAGAAAAGCTCTTAAAGGATGGAGATTCTAATTCTCCCAAATTTATTTCAAATTTTGAAAATCAACTTAGTTACAAAAAATACATTGTTTTATACGACAATTTATAGTCTTTTGATTAGCATTGGAAATTAGATGCTGCTAAAAGCAATCATAAGAAAATTACAAATGTTCTCAAAATAATAAAAGATCATGAATTTAATAAACAGAATTACTCGATCGATGATTACTAAGAATTTAAAAAGAATCTAATCACAAAAATATCATTGGATAAGAAGATAATAGAATTCCTAAAATTTTTAGTTCATCTGACTGCTTTAGATGAGACGTATATTTAGTGTGGATCAAATTCTCTTCATTTGCTAGTTTAAATGAAAGTGGATTTGAGGGAATAAAGTTTTGAGAATATTAGGATAAGTAATACATCATTAGTTGGTGGAAATTTTGTAAGATGCATATTCAATGGATCAGAATTTGACAATGTAGATATTAGTGGAATGAACTTGAATTAAGCTTAATTGTTTAATTGTAAATGGAAAAATATTAAAATACATGAGTTAAATAAATTAGATGGTCATCAGAGAAGAGTTAATTAGGTATGCTTTTCTCCAGATGGTAGATCATTAGCTTCTTGTAGTGATGACAATTAGATTATATTGTGGGATGTTAAAACAGGAAAAATTAAGTCTAGAATCAAGTAAAAGGAAAAAGTAATATCAGTATGCTTTTCGCCTAATAAGAGTACATTAGCTTTCGGTAGTGGAAAATTTGTATATTTATGGAATCTTAAAACAGGAAAATAAAAAGCCAAATTAGACGGTTATTCAAGTGCAGTTAATTCAATTTGTTACTCTCCTGATGGTACTACATTAGCATCTGGTAGTGAAGATAACTCTATCTGTTTATGGGATGTTAAGACAAGGTAATAAAAAGCCAAATTAGATGGTCATTC